TTGTCAAATTCTGAAAAAAATTATGGAGAATAAAGTGAGTGGACACACAATTAGAAATTTTTATATTTTACAAATTTATCCCTTATTTTTCCATGAAACCTATTAAAGTTATATTTTTTTGAAAAGCTCATCAAATTTCCCATATGATGACAAGAAAAGTTTTGGAAAATTTGCAAGGAATATAGTCACTTTATGTAAAAAACGCATGTTATATATGCAAGTTTTTAATGTTTTTCATTTTTCTCAGCAACGACTTTATGAAAAGCTTTAAAATTTTGCACACTCATTTCTTATATAAATGTTAATAATTCGTATAAGTTTCAGAATTTTTATTGAGTTTTTCACGAGTTTTCCTAACCTGAATTTTTCACTATTTAAATTAATTTTTCTCGATAACTGCGCATTGTTATTAGATGCTGTTCATCTTTTTTTCTTTCATTTTTTAATAGCTTTCCATTGATATATAACAATCTAGGAAAAAGTATGAGACAAGAGAGAAATCAATAAAAAAGTGTAAAAATTGTATGAAAATTTCCAAAATTCTCAGCCATCTTGAATTTATTCTGCTTTTTCTGGTTAAACTAATAAAATTTCATAAAAGTTTTATACATCTTTGGAAAGGTCTAGCTTAGTACTTTCATTCACTAGAAACCGCATGAGTCTAAGATAAGCACAAGTAAAATCATAGGAGCTTGAAGTTGGTAACATAAAAAAAATTCAAATTTTCAAAAATATTAATTTACTGCTTGTTGTTATTATTAGATGCATAAAAATGGTAAATTTTGTTGTTTTATAACATATTCTTAGCAATAAACATTAATTTAAAGCTTAAATATCAAATAAACAAAAAAAAATATTTTCTTTACATTTAGCTGTCTTTTCTTACCAACTTCAAGCTTCTATAATTTTACTTGTGCTTATCGTAGATTCATGCGGTTTCTAGTGAATGAAAGTACTAAGCTAGACCTTCTCAAAAATGTATAAAACTTTTATGAAATTTTATTAGTATAACCAGAAAAAGCAAAATAAATTCTGAGAATTTACGAAATTTTCATACATTTTTCACAATTTTCACACTTTTTTATTGATTTCTCTCTTGTCTCATACTTTTTCCTAGCTTGTTATATATCAATGGAAAGCTATTGAAAAATGAAAGAAAAAAAAAATGAGCAGCATCTAATAACAATGCGCAATTATCGAGAAAAATTAATTTAAATAGTGAAAAATTCAGATTAGGAAAACTCGTGAAAAACTCATTAAAAATTCTGAAACTTATACGAATTATTAACATTTATGTAAGAAATGAGTGTGCAAAATTTGAAAGCTTTTCATAAAGTCGTTGCTGAGAAAAATGAAAAACATTAAAAACTTGCATATATGAAATGCGTTTTTTACATAAAGTGACTATATTACTTGCAAATTTTCCAAAACTTTTCTAATCATCATATTGGAAATTTGATGAGCTTTCCAAAAATATATAACTTTAATAGGCTTCATGGAAAAATAAGGGATAAATTTGTAAAATATAAAAATTTCTAATTGTGTGTTCACTCACTTTAATTCAGCAGAATAAAAATAAGTTCTTCAGAATTATTCTGGTTGATTTTTTTTTTTTTTTTGTTACATCCATGTCACGCAACATTAATCAGAATTATTCTGTTGTTATCAGAATTTATCAGAATAATTCTACAGAATTGTTGCGCAACTGTTGAGCAGAATTCTGCAGAATTATTCTGTCTATCCTATCCAACACACCCTTATGAATATTTTGATTTCATGAAGATATTATGAAAACAAAGAATTCACAGGTAAAATTGAAAGTGCTTTACTGACGGAGACAAGTAAGAGACTAAGTATAATTTTTACATAATTAATTCACGGTCCAATCCGTGGGAATGAATGTGTTCATGTGGATGTGCTTTTTGTTTTATAGACACATGACGAAATTTAAACAGTAAAAGTAAATATTTCTTCGTCGACGACACAAAAGATGTTGCTGTTAAATGATAAGCATGAAAAGTATGAATTTCAATAATTCTCTTTATTGTCATATATTACAACAACTGTTTCACCTACCCATGTTTACGAAAGTTTAAATACCTTAGAAAATTACAAGTAACTAGTGAAATCTAGCTAAATTCAAATTGTTAACATTAGTAAATAATATTTTGTCGATTTCAAACTCAAGCCATACATATCTCAAACAGACATCTTAGAGTCGCACATTAACAAAACAGTGACGAAGTATCTGTTCTTTTTAACAATCAAAAACGATGTATTAGTCACTGTATGAACTCTGAAAAAAAAATCATTTAGTTTTGATAACGAGCTCCTGCCTATTTTCGGAAAGTTCATCTGATATGATTAGGTGAATAGATCACAAGTCTGATAAATACTTTGACAATGGAATTTCCAATAACCTTTAACTTCTTAAGTTTATCTTTTATCCATACATACCAAAATATTAAATTCAAACAAAAATGAATTTGCATCCAAAAAGAAAAAAAATAAGACTCGTGTTCATTATCAACTACTTCACATTAAAAATGGAAAGGAAGAGTATACAAATGAACATCTATTTAACTTATTTAAAAGCTTCTTACCATAACAATATAACAAAAACAGAGATTTTTTGGTAGAAGTGGAAACAGCCAAGATTGAATTGATCACGAGGAAAATTAGGCGGCATTTAAAGCACATTCACGTGATTAATGAAATAATTTTATTACCATTGAGATTTCGTGTTTAATGCCCCCTTCACTTCCTAGAACTCCATTGTTTTCTTCCTCATTTATTAACGAAAAGTGGTAATTAACTTTGGAAGTGAATTCTGAAAGTTTTATTTACTATGTGCATTGCTGCGTAAAATTTAAGCAATTACAATTTCAATTTTATCATAGAATGGGAAGATTGCTAAGTGTGCTTGAAATTTTAAAAGAATACCTACACTCAGGAAAAATTTCAAAAACTTTTCACTTTAGATTTTAAAATTTGTCAATTCTAATTGAAATTTTTAAATCCAAAGTAAAATTTTTAAATTTTCTTCTGAATTTTAAAATAAAGTTTTGAAATTAACAATACTCATTTTAAAAATCTAAAGTGCAAATTTTTAAACTTTCATTCCAAAATAAAACTTTTAATTTTAATGTACAATTTTTGATTTCGAAAAATTTTGCAACTTAAAGAAAAAATTTTAGATTTAAAAGTTTTTCTTTTTGATTTTTGAAAACAATAATTCGCAGAAATATTTGAAGAAAAACAAAACTTCGCAGAAATCATGGCATCAACTCCAACTTAAGTTTTCATAGAAACTTAAGATATTTGTAATAATATCTTTCACATGAATGAAATTTCTTCTGCCTCACAAGCATTCGTGCTTTATGATTTTATGAGTTCTGTCATTTCATCAACTTAATTTGCTTTAAATTGAAAGATTAATTTAAAAAAATCAAAAGTTATTATTTTTGATTCAAAAATCTTTACTTTAGATTCTAGAATTTTATTTTTAAATTTAAAAAATTAATGTTGAGTTTTGGGTTTAAAAGAAAAATATTTACTTTTTTAAAGTATGAATTAAAAATAAAATTTTTGATTATAAAATTTTCTTTAAGAAAATCTAGAGTAGAAATCTAAAGTAATCCTTGGGGTTGCAAAACAAAAATTTTCTATTAGATTTTTTCATACAAATCTAAAATTCAATATTAGATTTTTTCTTTTGATATATCAATTCAAAACTTTTCTATGGATTTCATATATTGAATTTAAAGCAATTTTTCTAATGCAAGTGCCTTTAAATTGTTTAACTAAGACGATCTAGCTTAGCAAAACCATAGATAGGTGTCAAGAAAATGTAGATCAAAAATAGTCAAATTTAGCTCATGTCTCATAATTATTAATTTAATTTCGAAAATTTTATTTAATGTATGAGTCATTGAGTACAATGAATCAAATGATTCATGCCGCTTTATGATTTCTCTTGAATTGTGCTTGTCTCAATTTTTAATTGCTTAATCTGTGCATTGCGGATATAATGGATTAAGTAACATAGAGAAACATTGATTGATTGTCCATGACTGAATTATTTTAAGGTGAGATCAGAAAAAGGGTAAAAAAGTCTGTTAATCATTTGGCAAATTGAAAATTCTCAATTGAGTTCTAATGCTTGAAATTTTTATTAAATGGCTTCTTTCTATGGGAAATAATAATCAAATATTGACTTTAGTTGAAAAAATCCGCTCGGATCCTTGGCATATGCTTTACATAAGATTTTGATGGGTCAATTCTTCAATTTAATGAAAAAAATAATTAAAACTTTTTTAAACTTACAAACAATTTAAATTGTAAAATTAACAACATAATTGTTAAAAGTTTATATGAATATTTTTTTTAAAAAGTTCAAATTTTTTGAAGCCTTTAATAATTTATAATTTGTTTTTTTTTTCATTATCTAATAGAAAATGTAAGTATCAATTTCATTAACGTCACTAAAAGACTCTTCCAAAAAAATCGCATTATTTTTTAAGGAATTTAATGAATTCCCATCTTGTTGTGGTGAGCAATAAAAGATATATTAATGAACCGGTTTTTCGTGTATCTTTCACATATTTTTATTTTGGATATCCGAGACTACGTCGTGTTGAAAAAATTTACACAAATATTTTGATAATGCATAGAATCAGGGTCAACGATTCCATTGTTTAAGGACGTTTTAGATATTATGACTGAACATTCTAATTATGACTGAACATTCTTATTAGAATATTGTGGCTTTACATCTTGAATTGTGCAACGATTTTTTTGTTCACAAGCCTCAAATTTCAGAGATTACTGACTAATTAATTAAGATAACGGATGAAAATTTACAACAAGTTATTCAACACGTCCATAAATAAACATCCTTTGTTCCAAATTTGGGTATTAACAATGCTATGTGATGAATCATGTAAACGTGATAAATGTCACGTTACAGACTTTTTTATTTGTTAAATATTAGTACTTACCGCCAGCAAGGAGATTCCTTAAAACAAAGTTTACATCCTTTGACTTTTCTTGTGTAAGTGACATTTTTATATTATTTTAATAACTGATAATTGAGTGAGAACTAAGTCAGACTTAACAAACACAAATAAAAACTTTCTAATTATTTTTTTTGTGTGCCAATTCACTATTTTCCGTTTATTTTATTAACACCTAAATAATTTTCATTTTCACTATTTATAACTAAAATACCTATTGCAAAAAATTTCAACTCAAAATATTATTATATTAACACGTATCAATCGAGCTTGTTATTAATAAAGGTTTTTTTTTTAAAAAAATTAAAGTAAAACGAAAATCGACATAATCAGGTTGGAATCTCATTTAAAACTGAAGAAGAACAATCCATAAGAGAAATATTTATGTACCGTTGTTGCTGGCTGTCGACGGTCGAACATTTAAAAGTTTTCAGGTTGTTGGACGAGCGTCGTTTACTTTTGCAATTTAAAAAATATACAAAGGCGCTCACTTTTGTCATGAATCGAATTGCCATCACTCATTTCATTTTACATCCTCCAAATGAGTCAGAAAATTGAACAACTTAATTTATTTGTCTTTAACCATTTTTTTTTCTCTTTTATTATTATTCAAATTTCTTTAAACCTGTCCAATATTCTTTGTATTAATTAATGATAGCAATTACAACGTTAAAAGTTGTGTCTCACAAGAAAAATGCTTTTATTGCTCCAAAATAAAAAAAAAAAATCACGTAAAAACTTTTAAATCTTTTCATTTTTTTGTTCCTTTCCTAAAAGGATGAATTACATAGTAAATGCTTTTTATTTCCTCATCGTTTCATTTTTTTGTAGTATAAAAAGCAAATAAAAAATAGAAAAAAATTTATGAGGTTGGAAGTAAGCTATCCTGGACATATTTACGCTTAATATTCAAATGATTGTGCCTGGACAGCTTTTAGTGGATGTTGATAGAGATTAAATTTGTAAACAGTAATAACTCGAGCCAATTGTCTAAGCTAATATTCATTTGTTTCGATTCCTAATCGTTACCAAAGCTAAGAACCAAAAATTCTTTCAAAGGATCCAACATTTTAAGTTGAACTAGTTTTCAAAAGAATTCAAGAGTACTCAAAACATAATCATATATCCAGAACCAACCTTTGACTTCATTCCAGTGTGACTTTGACATATTTTGTTTGAATTAAAAAAAAATTAAAGTTACAGAAAAAAAACGTGAAGCTTTCTTTTATTTCCATTTTTTTGTAATGTTTAAGAAGAAAACAAATCCTTCCATCATCAATCAATCGACGGGGTGAATAAAAAATGAACAAAACACACAGGCTAAACGAATTTCATTCTCATGGATCACCTTAATCCTTTATAATCAAATTTATCTCAAATATTAGGCAACAATCCAAAGATTTTTCATAAAAAATTTAGTTTGATGAATTCAGGACAGACGATTTTTACAAAATTGACAGCCAAAGAATCATCATGAATTTATAGATTTGTCCATGAGAATCAATTTCGTCCACAATTTCTCTTCTGATTAACTAAAGAATAAAATTGTAGTGTGACATACAAAAAAAAATTACATCGAATATTATTTATTCTTTCTTAATTTTTTTTTTTGATTTATGCAATGTGATCTTCGGAATTTTTCAGAGGTCGATAAAGAGTTCAATTTGCAAAAAAATAATTTCTGCTCGTTCTTGTGAAGCATGAAATTTCATACAAAAGCAAAATACATACTTCGCAAGAGCAACCAGAAACCATATTTCGCACAACGACATCTAATTTCGATCTCTGAATTTTTTTGCAAAATTTTTCATATTTTTAAATTTCCCTTCAAATCAATGTCTGATTTTTATTGGCTTTTCCTTTTTTTATAATTCTTTGTATGTTGCAATTAGTTATGCATGTAATTTAACTTTAAATGGTTGTTATTTTGTGAATGTATTTCATTTCAGAGGGAAGAATATGAATAAACATTATTTTCCATTATTGTTGTTGGATATAAAGCAACACAAAACCAGGCTGTCTCTGAGTCGCTTTGATGAATAGATATAGAAACATCTTTTTGCAAAAAAGTACTTTTAATTGTTAATTATTTTAAATTTTTGTGATTGTTTTTTTTTTTCTTTGAGACGCGAAGAAAAACTTTTTTAATATTTTTTTCATATATTATAATAAAAAAATGCGAATTTTTGAAATTAATAAGAAAATTAGAATTACGAGAGTAGAATCGCCGATATTAGAATGGACTGAGCCTGGAAATTTCGCTGGCTTAGAGGTAATTATTTTTCAGCAGCGGTATTTGTTTTAATTGCAATGACACATTCTTCTCCACAGGATTTAAGGACAGTGCACTGAAATGCATACAAAATTTTCAATTAATTAGTGTATAAAACCACAAGCTTGCTATTTACCAATAAATCTTTGCCGTTGTCGAATTCTGAACGTAATTGGACACCCAATTCTCCATCTGGAATCTTTAAATCTTCACGAATATCACCACCGTCGCTCATCAAAACCAAAAATCCATCGTCAATATCAGTCAATTGGTAATCTTCACGCTTTACATGTGGAACATCCATGTTGTGAGTGGATGGGCAAATATCTTCATACTTTTTGCCAGAGAAAATATCAATACCAACTAAATGAACCTTAGCGTGACCATGTTTACCTAAAATACAAACACAAATGGCAATGTAAATTAATCATGTCGAGGGACACAAACAATCTGGATAGGCTCAGATTTCGATTGTGAAAAATAACGTTCACTTAAAACTTCAAAAATATATATATATCTTTGACTGGCTCCAACAAAGTGTTAAACATTCGTACACAAGTAATTTATATCAGGAAAATGCGAAATAAAAATGTTTTTCTTCTAAAACAATTCACAGCGGATATTGAGCTGAGCAGAATTTACAATTTACATAACCTCAAGACATAGATAAGGTCTGTCAGTTTAATGGCATAACTTGCATATTACATACCAGTTTTTGAGGTCGACATTTCAACAATCTTGCATGGACGTGCTTTTAACATGACAAATCCGTTTTTACGCAATGCTGAGCACTGCATTGGGAAAGTTGCTGATGCTCCTGCATCTCCGGTTTCGAAATGTGTATCTTCCATGTCTCCCATTGTTGATTATTTTATTGTTTTTTTTCCTTTTAAGTGCGACGAGTGTGAAAAACTAATAACAAAAATTTGTCCAAAAAACTAATGTATTAACCCAAAAAGGAAATTCTATGGAAAATAAGAATAAAAAAATACAGAAATTAAATTATATATCCACAAAGGAAGTAAAATAAGAGTCTTGAAAAGTGTCAAAAATTAAAAGAAAATTAGTGCTGCTGCAAATCAACAGATATCAACAATTTATGACCGAATAAGTTCTATCGGTGCTAGCTTGATGCAAATAATCTGCAATTTAATCAGCATAAAAGAAATTTGCATTAAAAATATGTCCGATTTGTTGTAAAAATCAGTTTTGGAATGAACGAAAATTACACTAATCATCAATAATCGTATTTTTAAGTACGAGTCTGAGCGTTAATTGATAAGAAATAAAGGTGTGAGGTTGTGTTGTAGAAAAAGCTAAGAATAAAGCCATTTTGATTGAGATTTACATAGAGCAACTACCAATTGTTCTTTTTGTCGTTAATGAAGCGTACTAGCAATATTTAGGATTGCTGATTTAATGCATTTATATGTATTAAAGCGATTAATAAAGTGGTTCCACGTTTTTCCTTCATTTTCGTCGTCAATTCTTTTATTTGCTTGCTTGACTTTTTGTATACCATATTCATCAAGTTCTTGTTCCTCTCATTATTGACAAAATTTTTAACGGATATAGATCCTATAAGCTCCAACAGCATTTACTGTATCTTCATTTTACAACCGTTTATTCTATTTCTGATTAGTTTTAGCAATACGTGAGATAAAAATCGAATAAATAAAAAGCATTTTTTTGTTTCTTCTTAGCCAATCTTGCCGCATATATCCTTAGTCAATTTTTTCACTTTAAAATTAGTCACAATCGATGATACTAACATATTTTTTAATTTATAGTTGCTCTTAACTACGTTTTAACACTAATTTCTTTTGTTTTAACACTTAATTTCTTAATAAAATTTAATTTTGCTTACACTCCACGTTTTTTCTTGAAGTGAATCTTTCATAAAAGACTTTGTACAGTTCAGATCAGAGTTGTTGATGCGTTCCTTGCTACCTAAAGTCTATTTATTTCTATCTTTCAGCTTACCTAATTTATGCTCAAGATATTCAAATGTGCTCAGAAAATTTGTAAATGTCTGCAAAAAGTTTTAACTACCTGAGAGTACTTTTATTGAATTAAATTTTTTAAGTACGGGAAATTCCATATTTTACAACTCTGTTTCGAAAAATTTTAAATTTTCGAAAACCGTTGGCTTTAATTTTTAAAAAATTTCAGTTTTTCTGTCTCATTACTTGATAATTCATAGATGGTTTGAGCTTGTTGTATTGATTTAATGGTTGTTTCTATGTCAGAACGTGCTATGTTGAGGAGATTTTCAATAAAAACATCTTTATGATTCAAAAAAATATTTTTTGGCACAAAATTGTATGAATTTTTGACAACCGTTATTTTTTGCTGGCTTTACTTTGAGGTAATAAGCTAGTAGCTTAGTAGATTAAATTACCTACCCTGTATTTTCGTTATAAGCTAGTAGCTTAGAAGAATAAAAAATTTATTTTTTTGGCTCACTAGTAGCTTAGTAACGAGTAGTAGCTTAGTAAAGAAATTGTACTTCAATGAAAATTTTGAATTTTTTAATTTAATTAAAGAAATTTTGCTATCTTCTCGATTTTATTTCATTGACAATGTCATAAGGCATTGAAACTGATACTCAGAAAGTTGAAAAAGATTAATTATACTTAATTTTTGGTAGTAGCTTAGTAAAGATTACAAAAAAATTTCAAGTTCAAAAAACTTTACTAAGCTAGTAGCTTAATAACGAGTAGTAGCTTATAACGAAAAAACAGGGTACATTAATTTTGATCTATTTATGAATTGCAAGTGAAATCAAATCAAACTTTATCCTATTATTATATGCGACATAAATGATTGAATTCTGTTCATTATTTTTACTAAGCTACAACGCGTTACTAAGCTGTGACCAAAAAATTTCACATGTTTATTTTACTAAAGCTACTAGCTTATAACTTTATAGCTTTATAGCTTTCATTTTTTTCAAAAATCTAATTACTGCATGTTGATTTTCCTTAATAAATTTTAAAAGCTTGTTCAAAGCTTTCTATGTCTGGAAAATTCTAGAATCCAAATTTTTCAAATTTGTCGAGTGTGTCAAATTAAGATAAGCAATCATGCTACCACCTCATACTGCTCCCAAATTGCTTAGAATCATCAACAAAAGAGTATTTTAGTCTCATCAGTCTTTTATCAAAACAACCCCAAAAGAGTAAATGTGCCTACGCTGAGAATAAATTCACCTGTTTATCAAGTATATAGACAAAAAATGATTAAAGACACTTTTCCAAATAATTTTTGCGTGAAAAGTTTTATGAGAATTTGACAACCTGTAAAAATGTTGCTTAGAATGTGAATGTAGACTCTAGAGGAAAATAAATCCTGTCAGGGGCTTTAATTGCAATGTTTTCACGATTTCCACTCGGTTCATCAATGCACAACAGAATCCCTGAGTTTTACTCAAAAATTGCCTCATCTATAAATATTTTATGTACAGAATAAGTCCCGACCAATCGTAATGCTCCGATAAGCTTAAACTCTTCTGATTGGCTGTGGCACAACCCTCTTATTGCCACCCTCAATTACGCTTCTATTCATTTACAATCCGGATTTTGGGCAACTTAAATATTTCTTCTAGCTCATTGTTTGCTGAAAGTTCTCAAGAGTCGCACGTTTCTCTCATTCACTGGCACGTGTCAAGCCATTGTTCAGCTATTGTGCACTTGCACCTGATTAGTATCATAAAGAGTTTGCAAACAATTTGTCGTAAGTGCTCAATTATCAATTAAAGTCAATTAATAAACTATTTATTACATGTAATCAAGTGAATAAATAAATAAAAATAATTGAAGACACTGCTGTGTAAGAATGTGGATAAAATAAGGAACACAGGATCATAAATTAGATGATTTACATTGATTTACATCAACGAGTGTTTTAAACCCTCGGGATATTAACATAAATTTACATAACTACCTCAACAGGGTCGCATAATGCAATTGAATTGTCAAAATTAGTGAAATATTTAAAAGTTGCTCCTATATGCTTAATGCCCAAAGCAGTTTATTATATTTTGAGAAAGTGTATTCAAGCTGAAAGCTTATCAGTGACAAAAAATCAATTAGTTGTGTGTTTTGTGAGCTAATATCTCCCCTCATATAAATAAAAATCAATCTAGTCGAGTGTAATTAAAGCATTTGATTGCTAAACACGTGTTCCACTGGAAATTGTCAAACATTATTAAAATTTTGTAAAAATGTTTTCGATGGATCAATTTGATTTCGAGACGGTTATGTCACGGCATCTATTTGAAGGATCTCTTCTTAATCATCATACACATTCAAATTCAATGAACCATTCATCCAATTCGAATAGTTCAAATGATTATTTTTTATGTGATGATGACTCAATTACCGATGGAGAATCATTTAATAGTGATCAGGAGAACAATAATGAAATTAAAGAGTAAGTTCAATTGAGTTAATTTACATTTTGATTTTTTAAGATATCTTTCAAAAAGTCCAAAAATATTCACATTTTAAACATTAATTAATCGATTTTTTTTTGTTTTCATTTCCAGAAGAATTCCAAAGTATAGACGGATGAAATGTGCATCCCAACAAGCCCAACAACGTCATGCTGCCAATTTAAGAGAAAGAAGACGAATGCAATCAATAAATGAGGCATTTGAAGGACTCCGTACTCATATTCCAACTTTACCATACGAAAAGAGATTGAGCAAAGTAGACACTTTAAAATTAGCTATATCATATATTGGTTTTCTTAATGACATGCTTCGAAAAGACAAAAATGGTAATGAAACGGGCTTGACAGGGATGAAAAGAAATATTCAAAAGGAACCTCCTAAAAAATTCTATTTGAAAGGTAAGTCATGCAAGACAATTTAGGATAAAAATAATCAATCAATGCAATTCAAATGGAAATTAGAAATTGTCAGTGAAAAGCAATTAATCATGTATTTTCCAAAAAAATGTGAATTTTTTTTTGTCACGCAATTTGTGTCGATGGGCGTTGCTCGATTGTTTCCTGTATTGAGTTTTCGAATATCCATCAAACAACAGACTCATATAAAGTATCGAAAAAAGGGGTTAATAACTAAGGTCTACCGGAAGGAAGCATCCCCAATCATTATAGAGCACTATTTCATGGTGATGTCATACTGAATATGACTGCGAAAAGGGGTAAAGAACATCATGATTGTCACGAAATAACCACAAAAATTTTCATTGCTATCGTTCCACATCACAACCCTGATAATGCTATACAATTTACCCCCTAAACTGATGGAAAGTAAGTACATTATAGCGTGGGAAATTCGCTACGGTTCAAACAGATGCACTTTTTACATGTTCTATAAACATTTACAAAATTCGGATCTATTTTTATTGTGTTTGGATTCCATTTTGATATCCATTGCGCATGAAATATCTATGATTAATTCAAAATAATTCGAGGAAGATAAAAATTGATGATGATGGGTGAAAATTTATGTTTCGCAGCATAACATCTCAAGCATAATCGACATGAAAGGAATTTTTCGTCACTTTTTTCGGGCATATTTGAGAGAATAGTAGGTTACAGCATTTAAGTAGATTGACTGAGGATGCTAGACATCAAGTTAGCACCATTCAATACTCAACAAATCTGTTAAATTTTGATTTCTTAAAAAAAAATTTAAAAAGTAAAACTGCAAAAATGAAATGCGCTCAAGTGCCTCAATCAACAGCCAGAAAAGAAATTTTCTATCCCTTATTTCATCTACAGATGGCTAATGTATTTTTATTTGCTCACTTAAAAGCATCCAGTGGCAGAAGAAAGTACAACAACACCCACACATAATTTCTGCTTGGTGTTTATTAGGATGTAATTTGTAAATGATGAGTATGTCTACCAAATAGACAAGGAAATTGATTACTTCTGCTCACCCCTTGAATTTAGAAGTCTCAAGTGATATTTTTAGAGATAATTCACAATAGTAATGATGTTCGTAAAGAAAAAAAAAAATGTAAACTGTAACATCTGAATATATAAAATTCACTATTATTCATCATCTAAATCCTCGATAAAAATTTATTATATTCACACCGTTTTCACGTGTGAATCTATTGGTTTTGCTCAGATTGAAAAATCAGTTTTTCGCATTTTGTGAGAAAACAAAGCAAAATTGGTTATAAAAGGTCACAGAAGAAAAGTTTGTGCCTGAAATTTTACATCATTTTCAAAAAACAGATTTCAAATTGGTTGTGGCATTGCTGAGAAAATCGCAAAATATGCTTTCTGTAAGCAAGCAAGCAAGTTAATCAGCAAGAAATCTCAATAACGAGACATCGTAGAGACTTCTAGTTTTTTACATTTGATCCGTGCTGCTCTATAGAAGAGCTGTATTGTTTTTGGGCAAGGTAGGAACAGCCGTTGCTTCAGAAAAAGCAAAAAACTTTCCTTTCTTACGAATTTTTCAAATTAAAAGTTCACTGTGATTTTTTTTTTATTTTAAATTAAACTTTGGATGAAAAAAAACTTTTTTGAGCAAAGAACCAAGAAGGAAATACATTTTCAATTTTGGACTAGGTGCGACCCTAGTCAAAATCAATTTTGTCACCTTTTTCTTCGAGGGTTTATCCAAATGGATTAAAACTTTGCATACATATTCTAGTGCTTAAAACAAATACAAGTAAAACATCCTAAAATTTTTTTGAGCAAAGAACCAAGTAGGAAATACATTTTCAATTATGAACTTGGGACAGGTCTAGTCAAAATCTAGTTTTTCATTTTTTTTCTTCGAAGGTTTATCCAATTACAGTGAAACTATGTGTGAGTATACTAATATTTATACAAAACAGTTTTAAATATCTAAAGCAAGAAATGTATTCTATATGTCGTCAGACCCAAATTTTATAAATTTGGTTGAACATTCAAAAACAACGTGACTTAAAATTTTGTCCAAAAAAATGATTTTTATTAATTCAGAAATGTGTGACCTGAAAATTAGAATGCTCATACAAAGTTTTACTGTATTTGGATTTATCCTCGAAGAAAAAAAAGTGAAAAACTAGATTTTGACTGGACCTGTTCCAAGTTCATAATTGAAAATGTATTTCCTACTTGGTTCTTTGTTCAAAAAAATTTTAGGATGTTTTATTTGTATTTGTTTTAAGCACTAGAATATTTATGCAAAGTTTCAATCCATTTAGATAATCCCTCGAAGAAAAAAGTGACAAAATTGATTTTGACTAGGGTCGCCCCTAGTCAAAAATTGAAAATGTATTTCCTTCTTGGTTCTTTGCTCAAAAAAATTTTAGGATGTTTTATTTGTATTTGTTTTAAGCACTAGAATATTTATGCAAAGTTTCAATCCATTTGGATAAACCCTCGAAGAAAAAAGTGACAAAATTGATTTTGACTAGGGTCGCCCCTAGTCCAAAATTGAAAATGTATTTCCTGCTTGGTTCTTCGCTCAAAAAAATTTTAGGTTCACGCCCACCCTTCAAACTTATGCTGAGCAAATCTTGGTCTATCCATAAGACTTTTGATGGTACGGTGTGAATATATCCGCATTGGGTTTCTACCCGATACTCTAGTTTATGCATAAATAATTGCTTAATTCATTTTTTTTTTCAATTTGAAACTCATCAACATGTGCGAATACATCATGAGATGATAATAAAAACTCATAACATACCGTAAACCGTGACAAATTAGGAGTTTTTGGTAATAATTTCTTTTATTGTTCTTCATAAAGCAACACATAACACAATAAAAATGAAAATGTTTGACAAATGTGCAGCTTGAAAATTTTTATATAGTTCGAAAGTCTAACTGGTTGGGTTATTTCGTTTTATGAAGGGCAAACAACGATTAAACATTCTTTATAGATAAAATATATGCGATAAAAAGTAAATGCAATCGGAAGTTTGTAATTTTACAGGGCAAAACAACGTGCGTTACTTAGCACGATAATTTTTAATGAAAACGTATATCTGCTTTGGTAAAGTGAATTCAAAATTTTAATCTTAACTTTTTGGTAAAATATATTCTAAATAGGTTATCCTAATACTTGTGATAAATAATTCATTTTCCATTTGATTGTAATATAATTCATATCCAACTTCAATAATTTAACACATATTTTTTTTCTATTTTAATTTATTTCACAGGCAGTATAGGAACACATTCGCTCTCATGGCACAGAAAGGGCGATAAGAATGGCAACGGACGATATTTTGCGAGAATATGGAGACCAGAAGATCCACGATCAATCAACCGCAGTTCACTCAATAGCAATTCGTATAACTTATGAATTTAAATTCAACGAACTTTAAATAATTGTCAATCTAGTCGATCCTCTAATCATTTTGTCGCTACCTAATTGTATATTATTATCTAGTCATTTTGCTTTTTTTGATCTGTGAAATTTTTATTATAAATGATTAAATTAATTTTATAGACTTTTTACTAATGATAACTTATGTATATTATTAATAAATTGTAGTAAATTTATTCCGACGGTAAATTGATATGCAATCTTTGATTTCCCACCTGCTTTACTCATTCAACCTTTTAAGTCCACAAAAATGATGCGTTCGTCAATCCATGAACTGCGACAAACGGTTTTTGGCAAATTTGTTTATTCAGCTGAATCAATTAAAAATCCATCGTCGAACTATCTTTCTACTTTTGTGTTGTGCATGCATTAAAAAAATATTTATATAGTATAGCATTATCAATAGGGGTTGGTTGATGTTCATTTTATTGTATTGTGCTTTTTTAAAATGTGTAAAAAAAAGACGAGAACATAAATTTTAGATGTTATAAGCTTATAGTATAAAAAATTAAAAATTTGTTTGACATAATCTTTTAAGGATTTTAAAAAATTGTTTGTTTTTGAGCTTACTTTATATGCTGGTTGGTAATTATAGCAAGACTTAATAATTGCAATTTTCAAAGAGATTTGGCAGCTAGATGATATGTCAATTCAGGATCACAGCATCTTTCAGCAAATGTTTTACCATTGAATGAATAATTGTTGAATGATTCCTCGAAAACAACTTCAAATCCCAACTTCCTGCCAATTGCATGCGTGTTTCTTCCAGTAAATAATGATGATATTAGCTTAAGATCATTGTTTTTTGCATTATCTATTGAATATTTACATAATTCATATCCAATTCCTTGTCTTCCGTATTCTTTCAAAACAGCCAGAAACATAATTTCAAATAATGAATCCACATTAAATTTCTCAAATAAATCAACTTTTGCATCAGCTGCTATCATGAAGTTCATTAGTGATTTAGCACTTTTTGTCTTGCATTCATCACTGATTCTCTCAAAATAAGACTTTTCATCAGATCCGACTTGCTTTGTCTGGAAAATATTAGAAGATTGATAATTTCAAAAAGATTAAGCTTTAAATTTGTGAGGTCTCATAAAAACCAAAGCAAATCAAATCATACATGCAGTTCAGTCACATAGTTTTATTTCCAAAAACAAATTGTGTCAAGGTTTGTATGTAATATACAAATCTTATGATAATGAAGGCATTTTCGCATTTCTCGAAAGCTTTATTTTTCATAAAAGAAACATTGCTTAAACACCATAAAAATTAGTTCTCAACGTAGTTAAATTGGGTAATTACCTACCTCCATAATTTCTGATAAGAGAGGAAGTTTTACTGTTAAATAAAAATCTTTACCTGTTTTACATTGATGGCGACACCCACAATTTTATCTAACTCAACATCTCTAGCAATAATGCTTACATCACTCTTTTTTAAGGCATCATCACAAAGTCCTTCTAAATCTCTTTGTGCTTCTACATTCTGGTCAATTTCACTTCCAACACTCACAGTCTCGTACTTAAAGAAAGCTTTTCTAATGACTTCAATAGTTTGATCATAATACGTCGAGTTGTAAGGAATAAATTCAATATTTTTGTTTAAATCTTTCGAGAAAATTTGACCAAACATGCTGAGACTATATTGCTTTAAATGCTGAATAGTAACTGAGAATAAAAAGTGGCATGGGATTTTTTTATTATCGCGAGAGAAGTTTTAAAAGAGAAGATAAGAGTAAGATGATGTTAATTCACACATCTAGTCCAGAATATTGACTGTAAAACCTTCAAATAAATACACATGCCTATTTTCCCTCTTATCACTTATTTCTTTTGTAGGCATTCAAATCGTGATATTGAAATAATTACAATGAGAAATTCTTGACACATGTGCAAAATTAAATATTGAGCACAATAAAGTCTGTCTTTTACAGGCTAGGAAGCGCAAATTTTAAACAAAGATCAAATATAATTACAGACATAGTGAACATAATAGTCACTCTAATATAAGTTTCTGCATTGAAAATGGGTTTTAAAGTAAATCAAAAGTGCTATAAATCCGATTAAAATTTATTCACAAATGCATGGAATTAAAGAACATTTTCCTCTCGTATTGAAATGACTAAAAAATATTTAATAAAGCCGAAATGATTGCCACAATTGATAGCACTTCATCATGAATGAGTAAACGAAATGAATAGCTTAAAAACACAATTAAATTAATACCTTTATCACAAACAATTGAAAGAAAGGAAGGAAAGGAATCATCGCGGTTGTATCTAGAGAAAAGTGTATTATTTGAGAGACCATACATCACCCTACATCCATCTATATCATTCGTCATGATTCACTTGATTCAAATTCAGTTAATAAAGGGCGCGTAAAAGTTTAAACGCAAGCAGATGCTTACCATGATGTGTGTGCATATATGGAAGACACTTCAATCGCGAGTAAATATCATAATAAAAAGGGGGAGGGAGATCTCTATATGAGTTTGTTATTACAAAGCAATTAACTCAAATCAGGTACCACAATTCGCCCTTCCGTAATATCATTCAAATTGCTTCCCTCAATTTTTTTTAAAATTTTTGTTTTCAGACCTCTTTGCTTAGTTCTGTTTTAAAGAGGATAGAAATTTATTTATTTATTTTTTTGAGAATTTGAAGAAAAAATGTTTTTAATCTGTTATGACAACTGTATAAATTTAATTAATTTTTTATTTTATATACTGACTAGGGTTTTCAATACCGGTATGGGTTCAATGCCCATATTTTCAAATTCAATTTAAATTTGAACAAGATGAAAACATTTTTGCGATGTTCTGAAATTAATTTATAAATTAATAAGTAAAGATATTACTCGTAGATTCGAGGCTTATTTCGAATCCAATATTTATAAGGTTCTGAAGCAATTTTTATTTTTTTATTTTTACTATACAATTTATTTATCATCTTGTGAAAGTGATCTTAATGAATCTTCGAATTCAACGGGCTCAATTTTTCTCTTTGTATCTTCGAATGCTGGTGGTCCAATAAGTTCAACGACTTCATCGTAATTGAGAGTTTCCTTCTCGAGAAGTGATTGTGCCAACTGGATCAAATAATTTTATATTTAATGAAACTATTAGTTTGTTTAAAAGTTAACAAAATATCAAGACCATAGAACTCCCTGCATTATGTCTGCAATCACTACGTTTTTACTCAACTTTACAAATTTTTACTTATGTTTCAGTACACTTATTATACAATGTATCACATTTACTGCAATTACTAAACTTTACTCCTCTTTACTATATTTAACTACACTAACCTATACTTTACTACACTTTTCTTTACTTTACTATACTTAAGTATACTTTATCACACTAAGCTTAAATTTACCACACTTTACTACACTTTAGTGCACTATACTCCTATTTTTCTATACTTTATTTTTAATCAAATTAATTAGTGCATAATTTTAATCTAAATAGCTAAAGGTCTCTTAAACACGTGGTCCATTAATACGTTATACTCATACTTTCAAAAAAATAAATAAAAGATATTGCAATAATTTTAAAAATTTAAAAGAAAATGTTTAAAAACTTAGCTAAAGATTATAGAATTAAAATATTATTTTTCAAATTTGTTTATTATTCTATCATTTTAAACCAAATTAAGCTGATGGAAAAGAAAGAGCTTACAAAAACATAAAGCACTAATGCTGCTAAGGCAGAAATAATTTCATTCATGTCAAAGAAATTTCTAATTAATACCTTAAGTTTGTATGGAAATTTGTCAAAAAAAGTATAGTATGGAAAAAATGAAAAATTTAAAAAAACCTAAAATGTTGTATTTTTGTTTTTAAAAATGAGCATTTTTAATTGAAAATTTTATTTTAAAATTCAGAAGAAATGTTTTTTAATAATTATTAAAAAATTATGATAAATTTTGCTTTAGCTTTAAGAATTTCCTCTCAAATTGACTCGAATTTGATTTTTTCACGCAACCTTACATTAAAAAACTAATAAGGACAGTTTGTATTAAGTTCAAATTTTTAAAAAAGCTATAAAAACAAGCTTGATATAAATTAGTTTCAATTTACTGGCATTTCAAAATTGAATGAAGGGACTGTAGAGAAAGAATATTTTAATTTTTTTTTATAATATGCTAGTTTTTTATTTCAACAAGATTAACTTTCCAACAAACTTTTAAAAAATAAATATCAAAAGTGTTGATAAGATTTCATTTTCCCTAAAACCAACAATATCAAAAACATTGATTTTCACACTCATAGAAAAAATATTAGAATTTGTATGGTTTTGGAAAAAACCAAATATCGAATATTTGAAATTTTATACAAATCGGAAAAATCAAGTATTTGAATATTTGATATTCACCAAAACCATACAATTATTTCTATGAGTGCACTTTTCTTTCGTTACTGTTCTTCGAAATTTGGAAGACATCCTTAATGTTGAAATATTTGAATTTAGTTTAACAGTTTTATTTTTTTTTATATGAGAAAAGATTCATTTTATCTTTGTTAATATTTCCTCAAGACTTAAAAGAATTTTAATGCATGAAATTTCAAATAATAAGCGGTTCTTAAGTTGCGATAATATTGACTATTTATAAATAAATGGTGTGGTAAAATATGCATTATTTCAAAATTAATGCACATCAACTGTAAACATTTTGGTTTTTAAAGTTTTAAACAGTTTTAGGATACTGCACTTTCTATACTTTTACTACACTTGCTATACTCTTCCTATACTGACTATACTTTTAAAACACTTTGCTACATTCTACTATACTTTGGTTTACTTTGCTTCACTTTACAACATTTAACTACACTTTGCTCATATTAACTTAATTTTACTCAATAGTTTGCATACGTTACTGCACAATGCTCTCTCACGCCTATACTATTTTGTGAGTTCTATGGCCTTGCAAAATATCTTCAAATTTCAGTTTTGAGATTTAAAATCTTTCATAAATTTAAAAATAGGTTGAAAATTCAAGCAAAGCACTTACCTTTTCAAGCTTATCTTGATTATCTTTGAGAAGTTTCTCAGTTTTATTATAAGCAGCATTTATAAGCTTTCTAGCCTCCATATCGATCATATTATGTAAATGTTTCGAGTATGGTTTTCCACTTGACATTCCTTCTTCATTCTCATCAGTGAAGCTTACTAGTCCAATATTCTCGTTCATACCAAATACTTTGACTTGTGCATACGCAATTTTAGTGACTTTCTCTAAATCATTTTGAGCACCTGTTGTAATTTTATTGAATGTTAAGCTCTCAGCAGCTCTTCCACCCAAAGCCATGCACATTTTATCAACAAGATCCTCTTTTGTGTACAGCTTTTGTTCTTTTGGAGTGTATTGGGCAAATCCAAGTGCTAAGGATGTACGCGGAACAATTGTTACTTTTAAGAGAACGTCAGAATTTGGAAGCATCCAACCAACAATTGCATGACCAGCTTCATGATAAGCTACAGTTTTTCTTTCTATCGGGCTCAATGAACTGGTTCTTTTCTCAGTACCACCAACCGTTCTCTCTACTGCATATTCTAAATTCTTAACTTTAACAACCTTTTGGCTATTTCTTGCTGCATGCAAAGCTGCTTCATTTACGACATTTGCTATATCTGCACCTGAAAATCCAGGCGTTAAAATTGATAAACGTTTTGAGTATGTTGATGGCGCTTCTTCAAGTGAAACGCCCGACAAATGTTTCTCGAATATTTCTCGTCTTTCGTGCAGATTTGGTAAATCAATCATGATGTGTCGATCAAATCGTCCAGGCCTCAATAAAGCTTTATCAAGGACATCAGCACGATTTGTTGAAGCCAACATTAATACACCAGCTTTACTGACCATTCCGTCCATCTCAACAAGTAATTGATTTAAAGTTTGTTCATTCTCTCCAGAAGTCATCCCTGAAAATGATCCAGTTCCTTCGCGCTGTCTACCAATTGCATCTATTTCATCAATATAAATTATACATGGACTCCTTTTCTTTGCTTCTTTAAATAAATCTCTAACTCGAGCGGCACCTAATCCTCCAATCATTTCGATAAATTCAGAACCATTCATTGATAAAAATGGAACTTGAGCTTCAGTGGCGACTGCTTTTGCGAGAAGTGTTTTTCCACAGCCCTAATTGACATTAATTATACTTACTAATTAGTACATATAATTTAAAGATATGCCTTACCGGTGGTCCTAGAAGAAGAGCACCTTTTGGAACTTTAGCACCCAATGTTTGATATCGTTCTGGCTGTTTTAAATAATCTACAAACTCCATTACTTCCTGCTTTGCTTCTTGTAATCCAGCAACATCCTTGAAATATACTCCTTTTCCTCCTTCAAAGGAATCGACTAGAGTAAATTTAGCACGGCCCATTTGTGAGAATGTATCAAAGCTTAATGGTCCTTTCATTCCCTTCAATTTACTTAATAATGCGAGGACAACGACGAGTGAAACTAATGAGAATAAGATTTTACCCGCTAATTCACCGCCTCTTTCAAAACTTATTGCTACATTTTCACGTACACCAAGTCGTTTTTCTACATCTCTTAGCTTTTCTTCGAATCGTGTTGTGTCAATAGCCATATGAAAAAACAGATAATTTGATGGTAATCTCTTTCCTTTAATTACAGCTCCTTCATGAAGAATGATGGTCACCTAAAATCAAATTAATTTTATTGAAATAACGACTGTAAATTATGAAATTCAATTTTTACCATGTCTAAATCCGGATGTACTATTAATTCCTTCACTTCTCCAGTTGCTAGCATATGATGAACAAACTCATTCCATGATACATAACGATTAGCTACTTCAGGTCGATTTCTTGGTGGTATCAAAAGTGATAAAAGCATAAATATGAGGATTCCAGTAAAGAAAATTTTACTAAAAAAAGCCATTAGTCTCTCTTTGTTCGGATCTTTTTCATCGTCTGGAGGATCATATTTTCCATCTGGCTTATAGCTTGGATTCTTTTCGTCCTGTTTGTTGACATTACTTCCACTCTTACTTGAATCATTTTTATGTTGACAATTAAAAATTGAATTCCTTAGCAGACGAATAATTGAATGCTCAGGTATTGAGAATGAGCGACTGAATATTTTTAAAATTGCCGAATATTCTTGATTAATTTGTTTCCAATCACTTTTTTTGTTATGATCTAATATGCTAATTTTTTGAGGAAGAGCTAGAAAGCTTGTACACTCATTTTGCTGGATATTAGACGCATGACAACTATTTACTGATAATCTAGTCACTTTTCTGTGCAAATCTCCAATAAATTTATAACGATTAACTCTGTACATTTTTTTAAATATAGCTATTTTAATTTTCTTATAAATTTATTTTTGTTTTGAAATTGGTAGCAATTTTTGTTGAAAATGAGTTGGTTGTTCAATTTGTCTAACATGCAGCAAACTGTAACTGAAACTTGAAAACATTTATAAGGCTTTAAGCGTACAATGTCTACAAATCTTTTGGAGATATAGTTGTAGACGTGTACTGAAAGCATACAAAGTTTCCAAAGTTATTATTTTAGTCAGCATTTACAATTAAATTCCACGTCTAGGTCTCATTTGTGTTTAAAAAAGTACATTTGAAGGAAGCAAAACCATTCTCCGGTTTAGAATTTTGTGGAGTTTATTGAAGAAATTGAATTAAAATGGCACCAACTCAAAGAATTAAAGTCGCTAACGAAAAAGCTCAGAAAAACATCACTCTTCGAGGAAATGTACCTAAATCAAACGTAAGTGTGTCCTTTCGAGAGTCCTTTAAGCTAATTAGCTTGAAAATTAAAATATAATATTAATGCTTAATCAGCATGTAGGAACTATCTGTAATCAATTTTTCAAGATTCAGTTCAATATGTGCCATAAATCTCTTTTTGAAGTGTATATTTGGAGCTACGTAGCACTTAGAAAGTTATTTGAAATGCTCAATTTAATTTAATTTTTTCTATCTGGTTCTTTATTCTTACATAAAATTAGACCCAATTCATAATGATTCTAATGAGAAATTCTGGCACGCAAATAGATCACTTAAATTATGCTACATGCTACGCATTTGCTGAATTAAAAAAGTTGATAAGATAGGTGTTTTTCATCATTTGAACGACCTTGCTTATTTAATTCGTTTCAAAAGAACTTGATTATTTTTTCCATGCATTTTTTGATTACACAGCTGTTCCTACATGCTTGCTACTCATATACAATCAAAACATTTTAAAAGATTTTTCTGTTATTTTAATTTTAGAAAACCGCCGAAGAGAAGTATCCTGTTGGTCCTTGGCTATTAGCGTTGTTCTTGTTCGTTGTTTGTGGCTCAGCGATATTCCAGATAATTCAATCGATCCGAGTTGCTTAAAAAGGATTTAAGCAGTTTAGCATGATATTCATACATCTCTAGAACTAAAATGAAAAAACTAAGCACAAACACACACACGGAGGAGAATGAAGACTTTTCTATTTTTCTCGGATCTATCGACTTTACAAATATCTAAAAAATATAACGGTTCATTCCGCATATTGCAATTTTGTTCAATTTTCTTTTTTCGTCTTTAAATTATTATTTTTTTAAAAAATATTATTGCTTAAAAAAGATGAATTGATTGGCTATAAAGTGATGACTTTCAACCGAATTAATTCTTTGTGGACAATTCAAAATATAATAAAAATAATAAATGTTACACTAAAATTCATAAAATAAAAGAAAAAGAAACAAAAAAAGTGTAAAATCCAATTGAAAGTGAATTTTGCAACTCATTTTCAAATTTTATAAACTGTAAGAAATACATTTTTTTTGTAAAATATATGAAAATATCATATTTATTGTGTATCCAATAATCAAGCTTAATGTGTTACAGGTTTTCTTCTTCATTCGGACATGATATTAGGCAATTTTAATTCATGTTTCAAAACCTTTATCTTGACCAAATACCTCATTATGTTTATAATTTATATGCTCTTTGCTCGTTCCTTTCTCTCGTGTTTTAGCTGCTTAATCAAAATATTTTGTGAAGTACCTACATAATTGACAAAAGGGTTTATAGCTTAATATTATCAAGTTGCATAATTTTTTGAATGATCGATTATTTCAAAAAGTTTGTGTTTAATTAAACCAATAGCATTGGATACTGACCCTTACAACTGATTATTTTAATTATAAATTTTCAAATTTTTATTTTAATGATTTTCATACAGGAAATAATTTTGCATTCATATGGTTTTGATTAAAACTAAAACTAATTTGTAGGGTTTTAATAATAATTTTGTTAAAAAGAAATATTCTATAGCACGTTTATATTATTAATTACTGATTGTTTCCTTTAAAATTATTGTACTAATTACTTCCAATTTAAATGATATTGATAGATTCATTTTTTGAATTTGTAATTGTTTCATTGACGACAGTAAACACTGGCAAATCAATCGACACTCTCGAATCATTTATGTCAATGACTGTCGTACTTTCAGGGGTTGGTTGGTTCGTTCTTAACGGCGAAACCTAAAGTTTTATTCCTTTCAAATAAGAATGTTACTTTCTATAAATTTACAATCATTACTCACCGATAGTGCATTACGAACCATATATCGGAGAACGCGTCTCAGCACGTCAACAACTGCGGAAACTTGAGATGTTATCCGATTTGAGCCTCGCTCCAAGGACATGTCGATCTGAAATAAACAAAAAAAAAACAAAGTCATTGACCACACGTGTGACAGTTACATCCATAAATATTTTTAACTTGCCGATGTCATATTAAAGATTGACTTCAAGACACGAAACGGAAAGATGCTTGTTATGTTTACAGGCTTTGGGTAACGAAGGTCATTAATATTTTCCGTTTGTGCATTTCTGTTTATCAAAGTCGATGCAGTAAAATTCACAAAAATAGCTAAACACAAAATTTTTATGCTGATAAATTTCATCTTTATTTTCCTTTTCTTCTTATTTTTGATGATGTTGATGATACGAGATTTAACTAAAGACTGATACATAAATATGTAATGCCTGCCGTGTGCAGTAAACAGTTTATCCTTGACTTAGTCTCTCTTAGTTTCTTATGAAAGTTGTTATTAAAGGTCGACATGATAATGTAAATGAATATTTTTTACATTTTCTGTACAGAATGACAAGTAATAATAAAAGAAAATTGAATTATTGTCTTTGCCATAATCATCATTAATTTTAAAAAAGTTCAATTAACGCATGAAAGCATGGTGATCCTTTTAACGGTTTTGTTCAAATTTAAATTGTTCAAAATGTCTTCACTCGAAACAACTCTAGTTTATCGGGTAGAAACCCAATGCGTATATATTCACACCCTACCATCGAAATTCTTGTTAATAGGCAAATCTTCGATCAGCATAAGGTTGAAAGTTTAAAGCTTGACTGGTAACCTGAGCTTCGCCCAGTTTATTTTTAAAGGCTTAAAACGTCAAGGACAGACCTTACATTCTTAAAATGTGTTTTTTGTCCAATCACGGTAAATTTTGTTTTTTTAAAAATTCGTAAGTAATGAAGATTTTGCTTTTTCTAAAGCAACGACTGTTCCTACTTTGCCCAAAAACAATCCAGATCTTCTATAGGGAAGCACGGATCAAATGTAAAAAACTAGAAGTCTCTACGATATATCGTTATTGAGATTTCTTACTGATTAACTTGCTTTGTTGTAAAGCATATATTGCGATTTTCTCAGCAATGCCTCAACAATTTTAAATCTGTTTTTTGCAAAAGACGCAAACTTTCAGGAATAAACCTTTGTATTCTTTAATTATTATTCTTGCTCCTTTTCCACAACAAATTTCAAAATCCGAATTTTCAACCTGTGCAAAACCAATACATTCGAACACAAGTACGGTGTGAATATAATCACACGTGAGTACGGTGTGAACATAAAAATTCAAATATTTGTTTATAAAGCAGTTCCATAGAATTTTCTGTGAGTGAATTGTCATCAAAAAAGATTTTAGCTCAATTATTTACTGTACACGTTAATTAATTTAATTTTCATCTGTTAAACTTTATAAGAAACAACCAGCATAATGAGTAATTTAAAGGATAAACAGTATATGCTTGTTAGTGCCATTGGAATCTTTGTATGTTACTTCTATTTTGGAATCATGCAAGAAAAAATCACAAGAGGGAGATATGGAACGGAAGAGAATGAAGATGGTACAATCGGTGATAGATTTACTTACACGTTAGCTTTAGTGGCTGTTCAGTGCATGTTTAACTACTTATTTGTCAAAGGTAAATACTCCAAAGTTCCTGATCTATGATGAACCACGTCATCTTTAAAGATTCTACGTAAAGTCACTATTATATTGTGTTACATTTTAGCTATTCTTATCGTTAAGCCACAACAAAAAGACACGACACATACAGGATATTATGCGAGTAGTGCTTTGACGTATTTACTTGCTATGGTCAGCAGTAATATGGCATTAAGATGGATCAACTATCCAACACAAGTTGTAGCAAAAGCAGCCAAACCAATTCCAGTTATGATTCTTGGTGTATTGATTGGCAGAAAGTCATATTCACTGAGAAAATATTTATTCGTACTTATAATCGTTATTGGTGTTGTCTTGTTTATGTACAAGGAAGGCAAGGTCAATAAAAACTCGGAGAATGCTGGCCTTGGAGAAATTTTATTGTTTCTTAGCTTACTTATGGATGGACTCACAGGCGCTATACAAGAGAGAATGCGTGCATCATCTAGGCCTTCTGCTCAACATATGATGCTATCCATGAATTCATGGAGTTCAGTAATGCTTGGTGCTGCACTTCTTGTCACCGGCGAAGGAAAAGAATTTTTTGTATTTGCGCTCAAGCATCCTGAATTATTTACTCATTTAATATTAATCTCTATAGCTAGTGCTTTTGGTCAATTATTCATATTTATGATGGTAGCCGGTTTCGGTCCACTACCATGCTCCATTGTGACAACAACTCGAAAATTCTTTACAGTCTTATTTTCCGTTCTATTCTTTGGCAATGTGCTGATTGGAAGGCAATGGTTTGGTGCAATTTTAGTATTTGTTGGACTCTTTGCTGACATGTTCTATGGCAAGAAGGAAGTAAATAGCAAAAAGCCCGAAAACAAAAAGCTAATTGAGAGCGAGAAATGACTTGTCAAACAAAAATACCGAAAATTATCAACATAAGTTCCACTGATAAGCACAAAAGGCTTAATTATGACTATGATTGAAAGAATTAATTTTCTTATGATAAATTATAGACTTTATATAAAGATTGTATATAAGTTATGTTGAATTATTTAAAAAAAAAAACATGAATTTTTTTGCATAAATAAATTATTCTATTCATCACTGTATGTGTTAAGTTTTTATTGATTTTATTAACAGAATTGAGACAGTTTTGATAAGCTTAATAGGAGGCTTCCGACAGAATTGTGTTACTCATCGCGATCAGATTTTTATTATTTTAACGGTTGTTATAAATTTGAACTTTATGTTAATTTTTGAAAAATTCAATTGTTTTACAGTTAAAAAATAATTCCATGTGTTCCATTCACACTCGCTCATTTTAAAAGCTTAGTCAATCGGACAACACTAAGCCTTCAAATCAATTGATAAATTAAATACTGCACGCTAAATAATGAATGTGCGGAGAGAAAAGGCAGAAAATATAGTCAGTGATTTTAAGGCAGACATAGAAGAAGACCTCGTGTGATTCTCTTTTTAAAAAAGTCAATGTTTTGGTGCATTATGAATTTTCCAGTTACTCTTTTTCCAGGAGTTTCAAAGTGAGTGAAAAACTGTTGTGTTTTCTGCCTTGAGACAACAACTGAGAAGATTTTTATGTGCGCAAAATCGTAAAACGCACACCACTTTAAGCCGGTAAAATTTCCTGAATGAAACTTTTCGTTCGACTGCAATGATGAATGTGTAGTGGTGGGAAATTCTCTCTCATCATCATGACAAGTATCTCGCAATTGGAAAAACTTTTCATTACATTTTTTCCTCGCTAAAGGATCGAAAGTTAAAAGAACTTACTACGGAAATTTTAATTAAAATCATTAAAAGGTACCTCTTCCGTGACGTTTTCATCGTGAAAAGTGACTAGAAATAACCGCAAGTGCCCAAATTTTAAGATTCAGAAAGTGAAAAGTGGAAAAATAAGGCAGAAAGTAAAGAAATTCATAAAATTTTGATATTATTTTGTTGCCACCAGATAGAGAAAAAAAAGTCTTACTTGTGTAAAGAGAGTGAAAACACAGCCTATTAGTGGATATTTTGAGTTGACTGCAATGAAAAGTCAAGAAAATCTTTTGTGAAAAATTTCATTAAATTTGTGTTGCATAATCGTTTGCAAAAATATCTTCATTTAAAAATTTTATTGCGAAAAATTCGAATTTTTTTGTCACTTACTATTGCACTTATTGCAATTGTCATGAAAATATTTGTTTGTTGACTCAAAAGTCATTTAAAGATATTATGAAGACGGCAACATGGGAGATGAAAACACACATTTGAGAGAGTTCAGATAAACAAAAATAGACAGTCGAGCCTTTCTAATAGTTTTTTTTCTCGGTCGAATTTCATTTTTAATTTAATAGCTTGTTAATTAAAGGAACTATTCTAGATTTTTTTCCTATTAAAGTATTTTTGACTTAATTATTTTATGAACAGCTTGTGAAAATCTGGAAAGAAAAACCGGAAAATCCAAGATTTACGTACAGAAAGATATAAATAAATTAAATAATACCTTTCAGTTTTCTTTTGGGTTACATTTGAAAGGGAAAATTTTGCTGAGCGATTTTTCTTCTTTTTCTGGCAGTAAGTACGAAAAACTCACTCACACGACTTAGTTCTAGGAAAAACAAATTAATTACTTTTCACGTTGTTTGTTTTTTGTTGTAATGTAAAATTCGCAGATATCTTCTCATTTTATTTATTCATTGAACTTATGTATGTAAATTATTTTCATCCTCGCGTATACTCACATGAAATTTAACTTTAATATTGTAGAGTGCTGATATTCCATAGAAATTAGATTAGTCAGAACTTGCCAATAAAATTTTATTGCAAAATATTCAACAAAATCGAGCAACAACTCGAGAGCATTAAGAAGAAGATTTTCATTTTTTTCTCAATCCTTTATGGCATGTAGTCACGTGAAGGTCAAGGATATTTGTTAAGGCATGACTTTAACTTTGCTGTCTTGACGTCAACTTTTTTATTTAAAACTTCTGTTTTTCTCATGTTTTGTCTAAATCTTGCCTACATATGGCTACATACCAAAATCATGTTTTTAAATTTTCACAAAAAAAAAAAAACAAAAAGATGAAAAACTCTTCTACTTGACATTGCAAACAACTCAAATAGATAGATCGTACGTGATGATGGACATATGAGAAATAAGAGTGATATTGTGAATCAAACCTAAATGATACTTAAATAAATTGCAATAAATGAATAATAGAGAAAAGGAGTTTTAGTGAATTTATAATTGTTTAATTGAAAAAAAAAAATATAAAAAAAGAAATTTTCTATATTTTAAGGTAAGCAATTTACGTCATGTCAGAAAATTAGAATTTAAAAAGTAAACTTGAACATAAATTAAAAAACAAAAATCTTGCGACTTTTTCCTCATCCATGCTTCCGTCAACTAGAAATATCAAAATATATGTTATTTTTGGCTTCATCGATAGTAGCAGAAAAAAAAAGAACGAGAGAGAAATATCTTTAATAATATTTTCTATTCGTGTAAATCATTACAGATGTTGTGAATATTAGCACTAAAAAAATAGTATATTAAAAATAAAAATAATCAAAAAATGGAGTCAGATGTTGGTCGTTTTAAAGTAACTGCAGCTCCTCCAACAGAAGAGCGTGTTGTCGGTCGTTTTAGATTAATTCAGGTGATTTTAATCGTCATTTACCCTTGAATTGACATTATTTTTTAAAAAACGTTGTCTCTTATCTCAACAAATAGCCTGGTGGATCACCATTCTTACAAAGGGGTAGATTTTCTGTAATACCAGAAGAAGGACAGGAAGGGTCGCCGCTTACACAAACAAAATTATCGGGTCCAAAAATCGTGGTAGATCCTGAATGGGATTTTGTAAGTTAAACTCCAAAATAATCACAATTATCATCCTTGTGCAAACATGCTCAGTATGCAATATTAGCTTTAAATTGTTCTCTTTTATGGATTTTGCGATAAACTTTTATGAGAAAATGAAGAAACCATAAAACAAGTGATGAACATCCCCAGAAAGTTCTCAAGCTTCGCTCACGTAAAGGCACAAAAGATGGTCATGTACATATGACTCTATGGAAAAATATCGATTAAATGAGCTCATAAATTTATGTTATTATTTTCATGAATCAAGCCGTTTCATGTTAAAGTAATTAACGATCTACAGCACGATAATTTTAAAAATTTGCAATCTTTTGAATCGGTTAAGCAAGTACTAAAATGCCTACAATTTTAAAATTGGAAATTTCGTTCCAAAAATGCAACGATATTTATTATTTGATTGTTCTAAACATTAAAGAACATTATTATTATTACCTGAGCTAGTAGCTCAGCCATATTTCATTCAGAAATAATGAGAAATTTAGAAACTTTTTAATGCAAACAAATGTGGATATTTGTGGGGAAAATTGAAAGGGTCCAGTTTCATAGAGACATTTATTAAAATCTATACTGCTTAATATCTGTACAAAATAACATAAACTGTAGCTGAAATACATTCACAAGTCTATTGGAGAAGGTTCAATGCATTGAAAAGTTATTACAGTGAATGTGAATGTAAATTATTTAAGTAAAATATTACACACAAAGATAAATTCGGAACTCACTCTAGAAACTGTTTTCTCTATGTTTGTGTTTTTTTAATTATTTAACGTGTAGTTCTCATATTGAGTTAGTTTCTTACTGGTTTTATGCTATCAGTTCGCGTTTTTCTTTCTATGTGCTGATCGCATCAAAATTGAAAAAAAATATATAAAGAAATTCGATTAAAAATTTGTTAAACTAATGTTGCAAAAAGGTGTTTTTTTATTGTTTCATAGAGACGTAAAGGCTTTTATCGCGAATTTTATATATAAGCGAATAAAGTGAAATACATAATATGAGAACTCATTGAATAAAAAAAAACTGTAGATTTTTAGCAAAAGAGAAAAAAAAAGAAACAGTAAAGTGTAATAAGATATAAAAAATAAAAGAAAAAGTGAATAACACTCAATTAATAAAACATAATTATTTTGGTTTTAAAAAATTGTTAACGACACAAAATTTGGGATTATAATTGTATTTTATCAATTTCGTACAAAGAACTTTGTAGTTTTCACAAGTAAGTTCCGGGTGAATTGCGAGTAATTTTAAAATTTTTCCATTCGCAAATCATGAAACAAAGAATTTGATTCATCAGAAAAAAGTGATTACAGACAAAAGTTACAGAATTTATCAAAAAATTGGAAAAACTTTGAATAAGATTTCAACGTCACTATCACTTGTTCCTGACAATGTCAGAAATGTTTTCTTGCTATTTAAACAGACTTACTTTTTTTGTATATTGAAATATTTATTTCCTAACAGAGTTGTTATCTCTTAACTGATTATGAGAAGTGTAATTACAGTTTTAAGGCTGTTTGTGTGGCTAGTAAGACACAGCTAAGCACGAAATTCAATGAAATCATAGGCAGTGAAACTTTCTTGACATTGACCTTTTAACACTTGCTGTCTGTGGGATCCGTTCACGTGTGAAGTCTATTAATTGAATTTCTGGCACGGTTTAACTCTGCTTTATCATTTTAAGCTATAAACTGAGTAATTTACAAGCGAAATATGAACTAATCATTTCAAACAAAACACAAAGAAACTTAATTTGAAGGAAAGTGTTTATTTTTTTTTACAACTTGTGTATAAGACTGTTATCTCTACCCTCCTTCCAAAAATAAAGGTTAGCTTAAATTAAATGTTCTTCTTTCATAAAATAATATTTTATTTTTATCTGGAATGTGATAACAAAAATGTTAAATAAAGTTCGCAAAAACTATAAAAAAAAACAGACGAAAAGTAGTTGTGATGATAATTTTCATTATCATTCAGCTGTGATTTCTTCTTAACATGCCATAGATTCGATTTCTTAATTTTTGTCATTGAATTTTTTGTTATTCCTGGAGTTGAAACGTCTTGTGAAGATAGAATCTTAAAAAATATAGGATAATTGGAGTCATCAATCACTACAAAGAGTATTTTATAAACATTCTGTTCATGTACAATAATTATTGACATACTCTCTATTTTGCTTCCTTGAAGTTCATTGAACCATAATAGACACATATGATTTCTATGTCTTATTTCTCAAAATTGAATTATAAGCAACAAAATTTACTTGACATATACACTTGGATGTAATTAATTTCATTAAGTCTGTTGTATATAAAAACAAAGTTACAAGTTTAAATTCCCATGGTCACAGTGTTAGTGTCTTTTTATTTTTTGATTATCGTACTTATCTCACATTCAATAATTAACAAAAATAACAAAAAACAAAAAATATAAAGCAATAACGATATGCTTGATTACGTGCCCCATTACCTTTTCATATGCAGCATGAAAGTTGACAAATTGTTGTTTTTTTATGTCGATCGATTTTCCAATGAACGCGCGAATAACATTTCTGTGGTTTCATATAGTATGTGTAGAACAGATCAGGAATATCTCCCTGAAAGTTAAGTTTTATTCAATTTGCTATAGAATTAACTCAATTTCTATACTGGAAAGTCACATTCTAATTAATATCCCGATACCAATTACAATTATATATTTGATCTAATTTGGCTTAATAGTAATTCAGGAGTCTCCTTAAAAAATCTCAATCACACTTCTGGCTTAAAGCATGCATACATATATGGTGGCGACTTTTATTACTTTAACAAGTTGCTTCACATAAAGTGTTAAAAAAATTCTTATACATATGTGTAGAATTTATAAATTAAAATCAATTATTCATACATCGAATATCAACCTTGACACGAAAATTTGTAATGTATTGCAATGTTATCAAATATAATTAAGTGGAAACTTATTATCAGCACCAATTAGTTTAAGCATGCAACAATAAGTTATTTAAAAGTCGTCAGAATAATTTTTTTTGTCATTTTTCATGTGTTTCTACGTCTACTTTTAATTATACTTACTTGCTTTGCTGTACACAAATAATGACATTTTGCAAAGTTTTGATTACATCGCGTTAAGTGAACGACAAAAAATGGTTGATCCGATATGAAGGAATATAAAAGATCAAGAATCTTTAAAGGTTGTTTCGTGATAATCAAATTTATTCAATGACTTGTACAAAAATAGACCAATTCACTCTTCGTTAATATGGACGAACTTTACTTAACAGGAGTGGATAAATAAGTTAAAAAAAAATGTAAAAATTAAGGTTCCGATTTTTTCCTGACATTTCTGATCAAAGATTTATGAATTCACATATTATTTATAACTTAGACGACCCTTTCTTAAACCTTTCTTGAATGCTCTTTGTTTAACCGCTATTATCCACTCACAATTCATAAAATTTTGGATATTTTTTTCACTTTTTTCTTTGTCATAAATATTGAGTGACATTTAAGCAGGGTTTTATGATACAATATTAGTGCTTTGTGCTGTCTAAGCTTTCCATATGAATGGAAAATAGATAAAAATTTTGTATATTTTTTGGCAAGGCATTCTCTTAAAATTTATGAAATATTGATCATCATACTCAAAGGTGAGGACTTCTACAAAACTTTTTGCATCATCGATTGTTTAGTTTGCTTCGAGAACTCGGATGAGTAAAGTCTCAAAACCAATAAATTGTAGACAGTGAGATTGCTAAAAAAATAAGTTAAAACTATGGAAAGTCCAGTTGAGGAAGATTGGGAAGAAGATTCTTGCTTTGAGGAAATAACTGATGTATGAGTCAATATTTTTAGAATTTAGATGCTTAAAAAGTGTTGATATCATCGATGAATCATAAAAGGGATTTGTATATATCACATCAAAAAGATTGTGTATATTAAGCAATAACTATTAATAATACGACATTTAGTTTATCACCATGTCATAAGTACTTCGTGACAAAAATTGAGTCAGAATTGCGTTAAAATGATGAGAAAAACGGAATTGAATTGTTTATATACGAAATCATTGCTTCTTATTTTTTCAATCAATTGAAATATGAGACAAATTTAAATGATTGTTTTTCTTCCTCACTTAATGTCTCTTTGTTACTTGCAATAATGTATGTGGGCACACACATTTTTCTTAACTTTTACTTATAACTCGGATTATAATTTGTATGCGTGAATATTGAAGTTGTATATTGAGGTCTCTTTTGGAATTTTTGGAATTCTCTTCTTTGATCCGCACTACATGTCTCGTATTCCACACAAATTGAATAAAGGTCACAAAGTTTCAATGGACTTTAAAAGTAACGCCCTGATCAATTGTCGTCATCATTTCCTTTTTTTGATTACAAATCAGTTGGTGAAATTAAAATCGTGTCCTGCCGAAAAAAAAGAATTGATAAAACGACAATCATTCTAGTCAAAGTATGATGTATCAATTTTTAATCATTTTTCAGTTTCTACAAATCAACAAAATATCAAATAACAGGAGCGAAACTTGTATGTTACAGAGAGTATACATTGGTATACATTAGTTGGCATTTAAATTTTTATTGATGTAATGTGCTATAATTTTACACAATTTATGACATTAATATTTTAACATTTTTTTGTTTATTGTGTAAATTGAGCAGAATAATCGAATATGTATCATGTTCAATATTATTCATATAAATTTTTCTAATTAAAAAGAGCCACACAGAGAGAATGGAAAAAAATATGGATTGAAGAAATTTAAATCGTTTTTTTTATTCTTGACATTCAATGCAGCGTCAAGGCTAAAATTAAAATCATACATTTTTATTCAAATAATGTCACATGTAAGATTGAAGAGTGATTATCAAATTATGGAAATGCTCTCCTCTTTCAACAAGTTCTCTTAAATATGGCAACGCTGCTTATGCTGTGTATTAATTATTTTCTGATAAGCATAATTAAATTTTTTGT